TTATCGACTCTCCTTAATAGAGCGATAGGTCCATAAATTTTAGTCAAGTTAACATCACACCTCTGACGATCAAACCAACTTATCGACTCTCTTCAATAGAGCGATAAGCCCATAAAATACTGTTAGGTTAATATCACACCTCTAACAGTCAAATCCCCCAATGAACTTGTTAATCTCTTTTCAACAAGAATAGCAAGTTTTTATTATAAAATCCCTAGCGGATTAAATATTTTCTGGAATTATCCTAGTGATAATAAAGAAAATTTCTGAATTTCACTCTAAGTGGAAATTCATACCAAGTTAATATTACACCTCTGGCGCTTCCAACTTTCGGAATTATCCTAGTGATAGTGAAGAAAATTTCTGAATTTCACTCTAAGTGAAAATTCATGCCAAGTTAATACTACACCTCTGGCACTTCCAATTTTCTTTCAGTGTTTCGAGTAAAAATATAACACAGGAAGAAATAGTAACAAAGTCTACGTATTTAACATCGTAGCAAGTTGTTATTAATAACACCAGAATCCATGCCTTACACGCATGGGGGACTTTATCTCGATCCCTAATTAGAGATAAGTCTACGCCTAACACGCGTTGCCGGTTAGTCTTTCACCGTAAAAAGGACAAAAGTCTATGTATTCAACATCGTAGCAGGTTGTTATTAATAACGCCGAAATTCATGCCTCACACGCATGGGGAATTTTATCCCGAATCCTAAGTAGGGATAAGTCAACGCCTAACACGCGTTGCCGGTTAGTCTTTCACCGTAAAAAGGACAAAAGTCTACGTATTCAACATCGTAGCAGGTTGTTATTAATAACGCCGAAATTCATGCCTTACACGCATGGGGGACGTTATCTCGATCCCTAATTAGAGATAAGTCTACGCCTAACACGCGTTGCCGGTTAGTCTTTTTCCGTAAAAATGACAAAGTCTATGTATTTAAAATCATAGTATCAAGTCTAAGAGGGTTCATTCTCTTAGCACAACGTTACATGTGAAACGGACTTAGATAATCCACATGCCAGTCCGACTCAAACGGTAGTCGGTAAAGGCTTATCAAATCCGTTGATGGCTGAGGGTTTGCCAAAAATCCTATGCATGTTCGTAGGTCCATTAGCTTAATGGATGTGAGCCGAGACTTGAAACAGATGAGCTAAAGACAAGTCTCAAAGACTTAGTCAAAAAGGCACGGAAGCCACTTCCATGTCTCAAGTCAAAACGCCGAGGCCAGACCCGCGTTGCAAAAATCATGATGCCGAGGTCACACCCGAGTTTCAAATTCAAAAAGCCGAAGTCAGCCCCGCGTCTCAAATTCAAAACGCAGGGGTCCACCCCCGCATTCCAGAAGCAGGATTATGACGCATACCTTCACAAAGGTCCTACGTGGCAAATCCCTTCAACCAAGATGCCTTCGAAGCAAGTGCAGAGAACAAATCAACTTTGGAGGGGGTTCTGTAGGTTGTCTAAAAATCACAATAGATAGCTTATCCCCCATCAAACACCGATGATGGAAGTTACAATCTGACGACTTCTAGAAGGCTACAATTTGAAGACTTTCACGTAGATCGCTGAAGGTTACAATCTGACGATCTTCACGACAACCGATGAGAGCTCTAGTTTAACAGCATTCACAATCAACACCGGGAGTTACAATCTGACGACTCTCATATTCTTAAGGAGCCAAGACGAAGATTACAAGACAATGATCTTTGCAACGCTATGACAAAAGAGATTACTTGTTGATAATCTCTCCAAAGCAAGACGCGGAACTCATCACCGCACTCTAAGACCAAAACACGGAGGTTCTCCCCATGTATCAACACCAAAACGCGGAGGTCCTCCCAGTATGTCAACATAAAAACGCTGGAGTCGGATCCGCGTTACAACATCAAAACGCGAGGGTCGAACCCACGTTACAACATAAAAAAAACGCTGGAGTCGGACCCGCGTTACAACATCAAAACGCTGGAGTCGGACCCGCGTTACAATATTAAAATGCTGGGGTCGGACCCGCGTTTTTCAACACCCAACGAGTACCCAACTCCGCGTCTCAATTCTAAAACGCGGAGTTAGGATCCTGAACGTCCACGTGGGCGTTTGACTCGTTCAAACACGAGCTGAACGGTTGCAGGAACCGTTTTCCCTCCACGATTTGAGGGATTTCCGCCCCACTATGGAGAGAATTAAGGGGGCGGTTACACCCCTTAATTCCCTATAAAAGCGAGTAAACTCACTGAGTTCGAGGTTGGCTTCTTTGGTCCGGAGTTGAAGGCTTTTTCGACTGGCATTTTTCGGATCTGGGAATTGGCAGCAGAAGAGATCCTTGGAGCATTTTCTGGAGCTTGGGAGATCTGCAACAAGAGCTTCTTCATCCTTGGCTTATCAATCGAACTTCCAGTTCAAATCAACTCTTTTTTAAGAGTTTAAACTCATTCAGAGTTATCAACTCGTCCAGAGTTCTAAAACTTGCCACGCAAGTTCTCCACAACGTCAAATCGTGAGGAGGAGACATCGTTCCAGTGAATCAAGACGTCGGATCGTCAACGGAGAGCAAACTCGACGCGAGCATTCGAGGGAGGCACTCCATCGTCACCGTGAAGAACCCAGTTTTAAACAAAGGGGAGAATCAAATTCATTCTCCTCTCTTTTGTAATCAAATTGTAACCGAGATCGAAGAAATACAAGTCAATTTTCTTTTATTCTCTTTATTGCAATTTTTCCAACATACACTATATATTTTATCATAGAATATTAATATTATTTTTTCTTATTAAACGCAGCTTTGGCAGACATTGAAGAAGAAAATTTATTGGTACATGATTTCAATAATCTAGAGGTTTCTGAATCAGAAGGCGATGGTGATTAGCGTTGTAATCCTCTTCTAGCTAAATTTTTGGTGGGGGCTTTCTTGTTAAGCTTTCTACGAGTACTTTGCAGGTAACCAATATCCACTTGCTGAACGCAACTGTACAAAGCCTCATGTTTTGTTTTGCTTAGCCCTGTCATGTATTCTTATTTTAAGAAAAGCCTCATTCATATCTCTGGAAACTACTGGGTTGTGAGCAACATTATACTCTATTTCCCCACATGTAACAAAGAACTTGATAATCAGATTAGTTTCTTCAGACTGTAGAGCACAATCGTGTACCGTAGCTTTTGATATAGCTTATGCGTGTAGGAACATCATTTTCATGTGCAATTCCTTTTCTTATGCTTACAGAAGCTACGTTTGAGAATTGAAGATCCTCCGAGAAGAAAGCATATGGTATATTTAGGAGGTGCAGTGCTTGCAGGAATCATGAAGGTAACATTAATTTGGGGATACAAATTTTTATCAAAACAGTCATTATCTCCAATTCAGTTCCAAAACAAATCTTAACTGGGTACCGTATGAAGAATATTATCTTGTACACTAGCAATTATAATTAAGCATTTTGTTAATACATGCTGTTTTCTGGTCAATATTCAGCAACAATTGAGCACTTTCAGTGTGCTAACGCAAACATAAATGAGCTAATAGTAAGCTATAGGTGTAATAACAAAATTGAAAATATGTTAGACAGGAGACTTGTTGGCAAAGCACTCTAATCTCCACAGATTTTTGTATAAACTTTAGTCTAATCTTTTCTTACACTTTGCATACATGCATTATATATATAGGTCTGCATTATTATGATTCATGACAATTTACATATGGCTAATGGAGAAATTTTACTTTGTCTTGCAGGAGAATGGAGTGCTTGGCCGTGAAGAAAGTTGTTTTATTTCTTTTGGACTTGAATATTACGTCTATGTCGGTTTAACTTTTTTAGTGTTGGTCTTATGAGATGTTTGTTTACAATCTAGTTATGGTAGTCTAGATGTGCATTACTTTTTGCCGTTCTTGATGTTCTTCAAGCCCGGATGCGGCTATCTTGTTTCAATATGTACGCTTCATTAATGTTTACTTGTAGTTTTTTCATTGCATACGAGGGAACTGGATCATGATGCATGATGTGTATACTCTTTTTAGTTACCTCCAATTTCATGTACAATTGATTGCATACGAGGGAACTTGATCATGATCATGATGCATAATTATCTTTTTTTTTGCAAGGTGACTTTGTGGAAGCTGCTGAGCAGTGTATCACAATCTATTAGTACTGATTATACTACTTGTTTTAACTTTTTTTAGACATATGACTCATTTGTTGAATAAAAAATCTTCTGACTCATTTGTTGAATAAGAATTCTATTTTTACTAAATGGGCAAATGGGTGACCCATTTATTAAATGAGTGGGCAAAAACCCGCCCATTTAGTAAATATTAAATGGGTCATAAATGAGTAAATGAGCAAAATATGCCCACCCATTTATGACCCGTCCATTTAATACCCAAACCCACCCATTTAACACCTTACTGGGGAGGTTATGAGGCTATCTCAACATGGCCACCCTCAAGGAAGATTAAGTAACACTTTTAAACTTAAAGAAAGTGTTATTTCAAAAACTGTCAAGCATAAGAGGGTTTTATTAAATTTACCAAAAAACTTAACCATCCCTCTAAAAATCTATTCCTCTATACAAATGGGAGAATCCAAGAACCGCTATTCATGCTACAGTAACAGTTTTTTGAAAAAAAACATCACTATAGCACACGGAAAAAAACTGTAACAGAAGTGAGACACAGTAACAATTCAAAAAATGCGGTAGTAGTTAAACCGGAATTATTGTAGCAAAAAAAAAAAAAAATTCCCTTCACACTAGTTAGGTGGAAAGCTGAAAAAGACATTAGCTGTTGGAATGTAGGGAGAAAATATAAGGAAAAGAAGAAAACGAAAAAGGATGAATTAGCCACAACAATGGTTTTGGTTTGTATTTTGGGAAATAAAAATAGAAAGAGGAGGAGCTCAACGCTCATACATTTCATATGAGCTGTCAGCTCTAGCGACCGCTTCAACCGCTCCCCCCTTTCCCTTCTCCCTCCCTCTCTCTCTCCACCCTCCAAAGGTGCGCTCCTCCCCTCACTCTCTCTCTCTCTCTCTCTACCCCCTCTCTCTTGCCAGATCTCTCCACTTTCTCTCTCCTCTAGGGTTAGGGTTTCGCCTTCTCGGATCCTCGGGTTCCGACTTGGCCCAGCAATGCGGGGGGCTTCAGCTCGTTCCTCCTCTTCTTAGTTAGAACTTTTCATCTCTTTTTAGTTTCGGATTCTTTTGTGAGTTTGATCGAGATTTGGGAGGAGATGAGCGCGTCGAGGTTCATAAAATGCGTCACCGTCGGCGATGGGGCCGTCGGCAAGACCTGCATGCTTATTTCCTACACCAGCAACACTTTTCCCACGGTAGATTGTTGCCCTTAATTCTTTTGGGCTCTAGGCTTTGTTTGCGCCTCAATTTTGGTGAAAGTTCTATATTTTTGTAATTTATGCGAACGATAATCGGTAGGGATTGAAGGTAAATATCTGAAAAGTTCTGTTTTTTAAGACTCGAATTAGGGTTCCTGTGGTTTAATCAAGCAACTTCGTGAATTTTTTTGGGGTATCTTTTGTCTTAATAGCATCAAATTTCGGGGTAAAATGCGCAACTTATGCTGTCACAATTGGTCCCTAGGGGTGGGTTCTGAGAAATGCAGATTGAAAGGTTGGATCTTGTTATATTCGAATTTGATTTTTTGAGAAAAATGGCGCGGTCTAGATATTGATATGCCTCGAAACACATTTCATATTTTAAGATTTTTATGGTAAACTTTGAGATATCCGTGTTAAAAGATATTCCCTTTGCCTCTTTATATTGCAAAAAGAAAGATATAGAGTAATTCCGACCGATTATGTATTTTATGTGCTGCAACTGAAACATGTGTCTTTAACTCTTTATCTTACAACCCAAGTCAATCATCTGTTTTATGTGCTCTCCGATAAAAATTGTGTTCTGTATTCCAAATTTTTAAATGTTAAGAATATCTTTTGAACGTTCAGAGTTGCCTTTCAGTTGACGGTGAAGTATGTTTAGTCATTACAATTTTTTTTGCTTTGTTTAGCGTATGTCTCTATGTGGTCTTTGTGTTGCATAATATCAAACCTTTTATTTGTAGTATTCTGTTACGGCTGTTATATGTTATGTTAGACATGTTAAATGTGCCGCCTCTTTATAAGTTCAATTTGAGTAAGAAATTTAAGGAACAACATTTGGAGGATCTCACATTATTGTTTCTGAACTAACTATTAAAGTTATTTCTTGGTTGTTTCATGTTAGTCTCTTAAATTATGTTTATTTTTTTATTAGTCTATGAAATCTTAGTATTTTCAAGTTATTATCCCAAATTATGTTTATTATTTCACTAGTCTTGAAATCATTTAAAGTTGCCCCGATTTAGTCCCTCTTGCTAGATTTGACCATCACTATTAGTAGTCCATCATCTCTGACTATGAATCATGTTAGGATCATTTCCCTTCCATGAATCATATGCAGGAGTTACATCTTTATTATTCTAAATCAGAAAAAAATGATGCATTTCGAGAGGATAAAATAAGGTACGATTGTAGAAGAAAATGGATTTTGCTGTTTGGATGGAGCTAGAGCTAGAAAAGATAACCATTGCAATGTTAGAATAAATAGAATTATTTCTTTTCTTTAAGTAATCGAGTTATTGTAGTTTTCAGACTAAGCGTTTTCAAATCTAGCTCTAGGGAGTTATTTGGTATAACTGAAATAGTTTGAGGTCTAACATTAGGTTTCAAGATTTGAGGGACTAATGCAAAAATACACCTAATTTTGATGACTAATGTAAAAAACCCTGTTTTATATGATAAACCCATCGAACCAGGACTAAGGCTTGTGCTTTTCAAATTGTGGAAGTTTTGTATAAATCACCTGGAAATTGGGAATTCTTATTTAAGCTAGCTCTTAACTTGTCGTGTTTGTTACCGGTGCATAATTGGGTGTTGGAAATAATGTATTTCTCTGTTCTTTCATGAATAATTTTCCATGACACAATTCTTGAATATTTTGATTGCAGGATTATGTTCCAACTGTTTTTGATAATTTCAGTGCAAATGTTGTTGTTGATGGGAATACTGTTAACCTAGGTTTATGGGACACTGCAGGTAGGTTTTCTTTTCTCCTTTTATGGGTCTGCTTTTGTTTCTAAGCCCCTATACCTTTGTGTCTTTGTATTCATTCTGTTCTTTCTTGATTTCCAAACTGTACTGAGTATGGTGTTGTGCATTTGTGGAACAGGACAAGAGGACTACAACAGATTGAGACCTTTGAGCTACCGTGGTGCTGATGTTTTCCTCCTAGCATTCTCCCTTATTAGTAAGGCCAGCTATGAAAATGTTGCTAAGAAGGTACTTGCATTATTATTTCATTGGATTTCATTCTTCCTGTTTTCTCTCTTCTTCAATGTTCGCGGTTGAGTGCTGGGTGCTGATTGTGTATTGTTCTCTTTCTGGACATTCTTCTGTTTCAGTGGATTCCAGAGTTAAGGCACTATGCACCAGGTGTCCCAATTGTTCTTGTTGGAACAAAGCTTGGTAAAGTTTCTGATCTTACTTCCGTAGTTTTGTGTTTGCCTTTGTGTTTGTATTTACTCCAATAGTTTCATACTACCTCCATGAGTATGCAAAGCACGAAAGTTTTGTAATCCTGCTACCCCTTGTTTTCCCGCCCGTTTGCACATATTAAGGATGGTACTTTAACCATGTCATAGTCCATATGTGTGCTTTTAGTCTGTATATTGGGACATTTTCTAGCGAGTAAGAGGGTAAGTTTTCAACTTAGGGCAAGTACAGGACAGTCTATAAAATGAAGCTTAACAAACCAGGGTTGACATAATCCGACATATCTTTAGGGGAAGGTATCTCATGAAGAGTTTTCAAATGGAATTAGAATTTATGGATGAAATTTGGGACACAGGAAAGCATCTAATGAGTTATTTTCTTGAGTCCTTTTCTATCGGGCTGCCACCCTTTTATGTGGGCTTCTATCATAATTTTTTTTCTTTTATGGGCTAGGCAGTAGGCACCTTTCTACATATAACTTAGAATATAACTTCAATTTCTTCTCTTTTTTCTTTTCGATTAGTTAATATTTGTCCTCTTTTTTTTTGAATGTGTTTTGTTTGTTTATTTAATTAAGAGTTATTTGCCTATATACCCCCCAAAACTCATAATTACAAAATTGCCCCCTGAATTTGAAATTTGAATTACTCTGCCCCACAAATCTTTAGAAGGAGAAATCTTTAAAATAGACCAAATCACAAATTTAATTATTAAAATCGAGATAGTTCAAATATATTTATCAAAATCCTATGAAGCACGGACACTGCGACACGGACACGGACACGGAAAAACCAAAAAAAAAAAGGACACGACGACACGACTAGATTTTTTTAATAATATTATTATTATATATAGATAAATTTATATAATTCAAACAACAAACTAAAATGTAATCCTCAAACACAAAATACCAAGCTAATAATAAGTCTAACATTGCAAACATATAAAAATTACAAGAGAATAAAGATCAAGTTGCAACTAGTTTCATGGCTACAAAATATTAAGTTACTAACATTGTAAAAATATAAAAATTAAAACAACGTTTCTTAAAATAAAATTTTCAAGTTAAAACATCAAAAAGATCGTTCTATGGTTTCAACTCCTTCATCCTCCTTAAACACAACAGCCTCCATCGAGGGCTCGTCAAGAGAAAGGGCAACAACATCTAAATGCCGACACCTTGAAATGAGTCGAAGGCATCTCCACCAATATCCCACATTCTTGATTCCCCTTCCATATACTCTTCCGAACTTCACAAAAGTAAGCGAATGTTGGTGTGAACAATAACCCTAATTAAATGGAACCCTAATTTAATTAACAGTAAATTCACGTGAAAACAGTAAAATCTTCATATGTATATTCAGAGAGAGAAAGAGAGACGGATTCACAGAGAGAATCAGAGAGAGAGACGAAGAGATCGAGAGAGAGACGAAGAGATCGAGAGATCGGGAGAGACGAAGAGATCGAAAGAAAGAGACGAAGAGATCGAGAGAGAGAGACTGACCTAGCAGCAATGAGCCAACGAGGATGAGGACGAGCCGATCTCGACAGAGAGACGAAGGGATTGTGGCGGCGGCGGG